TTAAATACGCTTGGGGTCATAACTCAAAAAAAGATTGGTCTTTTTGAGTCAATTTGGTCCAAGCAGAGTAGCCTACCCCATTTCAGTAGGCCTTTCCAACCCTAACAATCATATTATCTTCTGTTCTATTTTTACATTGTGTCCTCCATGGGTCAACTCTGGAAATAACTAAAGAATTGCAAAATTAACAAACTAATGTCATAGAGGATGTGTTCTACAAATAACATTGAGATAGATAGATGTCATTTATTCACTTACCTTGGCAGATTGGATTTCACATTGATCTATAGTGATATCGGTTGACAGAGGCTTAAGCATGCACACAAAGAAGAGATCTGACTTCTCAAATATAACATGGTGGGCATGCCTGCAATTAATAAATTTTCAAATGAAAAGAAAATAACTATAGAATTAATTGCAAGTTAGTTTGTTGTTGATTTGTACAGACATTGTGATTATATAGGATACTTCTAGGCTACAATCTAATCATAAAGTCCAATTATGCAACACAAATATAGAAAAGTTCTAACAAGTTCACTGATTGATCTTTTGTTTTAAGCATTGGACCTAAAGTTGCGCAACTTCTGCAGATTACGATCTTCTTACCTGAAAGCAACCACTTCAAGAAATGTTGTCTCTATCTGAAGGGAAGAAATTAAAAGAGAGTGCGATTAGCATTTGTAAAATCATTTTCATAAACAAATAACAAAACATATTTTACAAAAATGTATAAATGGAAGGTAAGGGTTTCTCTTACACCAGTTTCTTCTTTGACTTCTCTCACTGCTCCCATGGATATTTCTTCAGACTGCAAAGAATAATTTAAGTCACTGTTTAACTCAATGAATCCATTTTAATGATGAGGAATACTTTCCTTCTTCATGTAAGGGGAATCAACGTGCTTTTGATAAAAGCAGATGCATCTTGATTGTTCAAATAGAGACATCTAAACGTCTGATCCTAAAATGTCTGCAAGTTTTATATAAAACTGTTATTTATATTTAATCACTTGCAAATTCCTGTGCCATAAGATAATAAACTGACAGTGTTTTCTCAGCACGATTGGTCAAGGACACACTCAGGAGTAAAGATAAAGCTTTAGAACATGAGTATTAAAAACAACATGGGCCAAAAAATTAAAAATTTTAGTTTATTTTTATTGCTTCAACTACATGTAATCGGAAAAGAGAACTTATTGAAGATGAGTACCTTATTGATGAAACCAGTAGGAATTTTCCATATGCCTGAGCATGTCAAAGGGCATTTCTTTTCTTTTACTACAAGTGCCTAATAGTAAAAAAGAAACAAAAATCGAAGGGTTAAGCAAACTCAAATGCTAGTGTAAGCTTAGCAACATGATCGCTGCCATCAAGTACATTATCATAAAAAAAAGAACAGGTCGTAAATAAGTTGCAAAAATACCTCTCTATTTTCATTTACAACAAATGCTCCTACTCCCACTTGATGTGTAGCAGTCAAAGGGAGCATGCAAGGTTCATCAGGAATCCAATAAGTTAACATAACATAGCCTGGCTCTGCATGGTGATAACTAAATCCTTCCTGATATATATTAGAGATATCAAATTAATCACAATCTCATATCAGATAAGAGCAATCTGTGCACAGATCAAACTCATTTTAACCTTGATGATATGAAATATAAATTTTCTCATGACATAGAATGTGTGTAATTAAATGTAAACTCTCATGTAGCACTTGGAATTACTTTTATTTCTTGAAAACTGACTTATGAATAATCCAAAAATAAGTCATTTCTATAAAATTTTCAACAGAAGTCTACTAGATGCTGGAGTTTGACCTCAAGTTGCTTTTACTTACTTTTAATGCAATTGGAACAAGATCAGCTTGTTCTTCTAGTATCTTCATCCAGATTCCTTTCTTTCCCTGTAAATTTCATGCCATCAACAATTTGTGCTAACTGTCAACACCGGCAGGCTGATAAATGAAATGTACAGGAATAGACAACCTTTAGCTTCCAATGAGAAATTGAAGCTTGAAGAATGGATGAAAATGCATTGGCACCGGAAGGCAAGGATTCAGGATCTACTATAACCCCATCATATACATCTTCATAAGCATCCAGTAATTCACTTGTTCTAAAAAGTGATGCCTCTGTTGTGGAAACATTGATCCCTCTCCTTTTGGAGTTATAATCATTTGTGAAAGACAAACGCTCCTTTGACGTGACAGACCTCAGCTTGACATTCGAAATTTCCAAGCATGGGAATTTGTGGCCGAGACCTGTAATATGTAATAGAATACATGCAACAATGTGACATAAGATTTTCATCAAATTGGTTCTGTGAATTCAAATAGAAACTGTATTTGAAGCTGATTGTGTATCAAATTGGGTCAGTGAATTTAAAGAGAGACTGTACTTGAAGCTGATTGCATATCAAATTGGTTCAATGAATTCGGATATAGACTGTACTTGAAGACGATTGTGTGAACTAAAAGCACTACTGTCATGGCATTGGCATTTTAAAAACCATGACATGTTAAAAACAAATTAAAGCTGACAAAATTCAACAAGTACACAGGCAGTGTACACAGGCAGTGATTTTTCCATAAGTAACCAAGCAACATGCTTCATATATTTCATGAAGACCTTGCAGTACATAATTTTCTTCTTTTTCTGCAATATGATCTGAAGGTCTTCTGAGGGACAGAAATCGAAAGAAAAACCTATAAAGTTCAACTACATCTCACAGAATGAAAACAAAAGGTGACTAATTTTTACCACCATGTCACACTACATTGTCAACTGACTAGCAGTGCATAGATGAGTGTTTTTCTGGTAGTTATAGCAAATTAAGAGGAACGTGCATAATATATTTGCTACCAAAGATGATACTACAATATAAAGGAAATATGTTCAATTTAAGTCAATAATGAAGAGTTACATTTAGACGCAATTATCTACAAAGAAAAACAAAAGATTAGCACACTAGTTACCACGCAAGTCAGAAGTAATTACCTACACAAGAAAAAAAGATAAAGCACATTACTTACCAGGAAATTGCTTTATATCTCGAACTATTTGTTGTCGTGATGAGAAGTAACACTTGGAAGTGAAAATCTGGGAATTAATCAAAGCCATCGTATCCTGTGCTTGTTTGCTTTCTAATCACTGAAGAAAAGACCTGAAGAGTTGGCATTTTCTGATGAACTGTTGTCAAATTTATTGCTTTCAGAAAGTTGCGTTCAGCTTTCCAAACAGAAAAAGGATAGCATATATGCCATTGTCCACTACAAGTACTATAACAAGAAACTAGAGATGCTAAAGCTTTTAGAAACCAAGGACCCATCAATCATAATGGTTCTAGTTGGATAAACGGTTCCTATTGTGCACTTAATATTCAAACAGCATGAGTGATCAGAGTCGGCCTCCATTGTCATATGGTGAAAATCAAATCAAACAAGTTGAGGAAGAAGAATAAAATTTAGGGATTCCATTGGAGATAAAGATAATTATCAGACAGACTATAGTTTATTTAAGGAACTGAATATATTATACTGGACGTTAGCCACACAGCAAGCAAATGATTCCATTTTTTTCTGCAAAGGAAAGAATGTTCTTTTCCATAGAATGTCTTCCATCATTCTACATTATCAATCAACTCTCGAAGATACTTTATTTAATGTTCTCCTTCCGGGAATATTGGCAAATCTGCTTGTTTGTCTTGTACCTAGAATTTTTTTAAGGTTGTTTAAGAAATTCGAATAAAAAGTGAAACAAAGTCACCAGATGAAACTCCTGTTAGTTCATATGCATTTCTCAAAATATAAAATTTATGAATTATTTTCTAAAATGTTTATGATATACTATTTACTATGCTCACAAATCACTCTAATGATTACACTGCATGTGTAAAGTAACAACTTTTCTCAATTTCATACAAAAAATCTTATCTGTTTCCACAGTGGTGGATACTCATAGTAGGCATCAATTACATATTGCAAACAACATGGAGAAAAAATTGTCAATATGAGCTAGTGAATTTGATATTCTCCTAGAATAGCAGTATTCAGATATTTTTTAACTTGGGCATTTCACATAGTTCTGAATAAAAAATTGTTCGTGTTTTACTGTCTTAATTTTTCCTCTATTTGCAAAAAAAAATCTGAATAACTCAAGAGATGTTTGATAGGATTCCCAAACCTCAGGTCCTTAATAGTGCATTAAGCAACTTGACTATTGTTCCTCCACACTTTTAAGAACATCCACACATCCTATTCCATTCATCGGAAATCATTATCCACTTGATCTTCCTACTGGGAGTGTTGGTATATGTTCTTTCTTGAAGAATCAAACTAAACTCACTTAAGATGTCCCGTTCTAATGCAAAACAAGCATCACCATACAATTGACTTAACTTGAATTATTTACTACTGCTCTATGGAAACAGAATAATCTCCAAAATTTGCAAGCATAATCCCTTGTAAACTGCATGGAGCTATCCAGACTGTTAATAAGATAATCCCACTCGCTAAGGAACCAATCAACATGCTATCTCAGTACAGAATATGTTATATAAGCAATTCTCTTGATTTTGTGAAAACTTCTAAAAGAACCTCCTCAATATTGCCCACTTATTGATGTTATCATATGCATATTTGAGCTGCTGCCAGCCAATGAGGTAACTGCATCTTTATATATCCTTTGAACATCTTTAGATAAAATTTAAATTATGTTCTCACTGAGAAGTGCTAACTGTATTATTTAATGCTACACTATAATTCCAGTCAGAATACATAGCTTCAGTTAACAATTTGTATTTCACAATTTCACAAATATTATTTCATCAGTTTGATGCCAAAGAAGTGAAAAGTTAGAATTAGTCATTCGCAAAAAAATCGCCTGGAGGATTCCATGAGTCTATTTAGTTTGATGACAAAGAAGCATGTTATATTAAAAAGAAAAAAAGGAAAAAAGAATTGATCTATCATTCATAAAAAGATCACTTGGAGAATGCCATCAATTCATTTACTTATCGCAGACAAAAACGATCAGTGAAAAAAAAACAGTGAAAAACTACTATTATTTACCAAGAAATACATAAAAGAATGATAGAAGGTCAGTCATAATTTCTACTCACTCGAGCTTTTCTCCAAATTTACAGATCTTATTAGGGGCACCAGAAATTCTTGTAACGAGCAATTTAACTCCGGCAAATGTGGTTTGCATATAGTCCCACAAAATAAGAGCTACATGTATGTTGACTATTGATCTTGCACCTGAAATCACTTCTAAGTGGGCTTTAAATTTGGCTCCCTCAGGATACTGCAACCTTGCAACGAGCATTAGAGCGGCTTCAATGCAGGCAGGATTTGCTTGCTCAAGCAGATAGTGCCGGTGAACAGCTACTTATTAAAAGGAAATGCCAGTAAGCCGCACATTAGGAACCAAAATACTCCCTTCCACTCGGCATACCAGGTATGCTTACTCGCTTTTAAACAGTGGATGGAAGACTGTTGATGAAAATTTGAGAAGAATTATTAACCCGAACCTTTTCCAGGTTAATAAGATAAACAAAAGTGATGTTGGGACGACCGAAGAAAGGCGAACATAGGAGGCTTGACAAATCTACTTTTCATTAAGAGTACATTCTGAAACCTCAGCTCAATCTCTTTTTTTTCCCGTGTCTGCATCAGTAATTTTTTTTAGCACTTTTTGGTATTAGAAAAGCACTTGTTAAGAATAAAACGGACAGCTACAGCCTTTGATTTCCAATAAAAAGGCAAAAATTGACGAACAACTCAAATATATTGGAACCGAGATGGCAATTGTTCATGATTTCTGTCACCAGCCAAATTTGACCTGGTAATGCAATGCTCTCGTTAGTGATATCTCAATGATTGCAAAATTTGGCACGAGAAAGGATGCTCCATGCATGGAAGTTAAAAATTCAAGTCACTGGACCCTCTGTCCTGGCTGTGTGGTAAGCCGTGTAGATCTGACCCTCTGCAGATCCAGCAAACAGGGCTGAGGTTTGGAGCTCCATGGCCTCTTGCACTGGCTTTTCTTTTTAATTTACAATATAATGACAGTAGCAACCCTGCTAACATCCTTCTTGGATTCATAATGATCAGTAGAGAATAACTGCCCTATCACCTTGAGCATTATCCATAAGTCTACCACTTACCTTAATCACCTTAAGGGGCTCACAACCCAACCAGCTATTCGACTTTGCCTGCGTGTGCGGACTGCTCTATGGGTTCCATATTCTAACTTTTCAAGTACTGAATATGTTATAGCATCTGGAGTCACCCCCTGTTGCTTCAGAGTAGAATATAGCTCAAATGCTTCTTCCACTTTACCGTATTTTTCAAGACAATCAAGCAAAATGTTGTAGGTAACAATGTTAGGGGAGCATCCCACAGAGAGCATCTCATCAAATAACCTGCAAGCCATCTCCACCTTATTTGATTTACCAAAGCATTCAATTAGAGTACTGTAAGTGATAACATCTGGATTCAGCCCCTTCTCTTGCATCTCCTTAAATCGCATGTGAGCTTCATCCACGTCTCCATTTTTTCCAAGACAGTTTATCAACGAGTTATAAGTGATTACATCAGGTTTACAATCACTACTCTCCATTTCTTCAAAGAGTTCAGTAGCTTTGTCAGTTAAACCAACTTTACCGAAGCTTGATATGAGAATGTTGAAAGTAAATATATCTGGTGGAAGACCATTCTGCTTCATTTGTTCATATAGAGTACTGATATGTGATATTTGCTTCATCTTACCAAGTGCAGAAAAAACCATGTTGTACATAACAGTATCATTAGATATCCCTTTTTCATGAATCTGATTTAGCAGATCTAATGCCTCTGTCATCTTTTCTGCATTACAAAGAGTTTCTAGCATAGAAATATAAGCATCTTTATCTCCATCATGATACCTCCACATTTTACAAAATAAGGTATGGGCTTCACTTGCATGACCTAATTTACTTAACGTCTTCACTAAAAAAGCATATATGGACTTTGTAACATATTTATTTGATATTTCCACAACCTCATGTAATCTATCTAATTTTCCTTCTGCTGCTAAAACATCCAAAATAACACTATATGTAAACTCATTGGGCCGACAATTATTGTCAATCATCTTGGTGAAAAGAAAGAGAGCTTTATCCACCATCTTATTCTTCGCAAGTGCCTCAATCGTAGTGTTATAAGCAATCAAGTTCAGACTGTGACCTTTTCTTATCATCTCCTCCAAGAAAGAGAGGACTTCATCTTTTTTCCCTGTTTTTCCTGCCATTCTGATTAGAATTGTGTATGTATATGCATCTGGTTCACAAAATTTGCGTCTCATATCTGCAACAACCTTGTAAGCTTCATCAACCTGTCGAAGACATAATCAGCTACCACAATATTTTAGTGGGAAAAATAGAAGAAAATGTTCATATGTTTATGAAAAAAATGACCATAATGCTCTCCGGCTGAGAACAATAACACCATAAATTGCAAAGATTACCTCAACCACATTACAATCTTGTGATTTTATAAATTAACAAGCATAATATCATGTACTTCTACAAGTAATGATACACGAGAGACACACATCTATTACTATAATTTAAGAAAAGATGGACTTTTGGTCACAATTTTGATTCTACCCCTTTGTGAGTCACAAATTCAAAAAATTCAAGAGATGACCTTAAAATTTACATTACTCCAAAATTAAATAGAGGGGCAATCTTAGGGGAAAAACTAATTCCCAATCACACCACTCCCATACGCAGTGTTTTCAAAGGCATGCGCCTCACTGCACCTCATGCGCCTTGCAATATGGGGCTGTGGCGAAGCGCCCACATTTGATGCAACAACACCTTTTACGCCTCACGTACATCCTTACTTTGTGCAGGGTGCATGTAATACATATCCTCATATAGTTTTGTTTGTTAACGTTTCAATCGAGTCTTTATACTTGATAATCCATATCCCAAAAAGCAAAATAAATCCATTAGGCCTTTTTAAGTCTTTATACTTGATAATCCATATCCCAAAAAGCAAAATAAATCCATTAGGCCTTTTTAGTAGCCTTCAATTGAGGACCATTACTATCCATTAGGCCTTTTTAGTAGCCTTCAATTGAGGACCATTACTAATCCTTTGCTTGGATATTAGTCTTGAATCTTGATTTAATATTTGATTTGAAAATTTATGAATTTTGTTATTATGTTGGGTGTTAGCATTAGAAATTAAGGCATTATATTATGATTTTGTAGTACTATATTATTTATCCTGACATATTTTTCATGTAAATTCTAAAACATGTTCTTTCGCGCTTGATTATATATATTGAGAAATTATGTGTGGTGGGCACCTCGCATCACTCGGGCGCGTGCATCGTGTTGCGCCTTGCGCATGTGCACGTAAAAGATGTTTTGCGTCCCACATTGCGCCTCGCGCATTGACAACACTGCTCATACGTTCAAGTCTCAATTGAAAACCAAAAAACCGACTTTCCGCCTGGTCTATTTTCTTAACAACGTGTACACCCTTGGAATGTCCTCACTACTCAAATAAGCTCTCTCTTTCTATTACTTTCCTTACAAACCCAAAATCCTCTACAAACAAAAACACTCTGATTTCAATTTCTTCAAGTTGACCTCCTCTAAACGTGTTCCCTCATTATGCTTTTTTTCCCTTGACTTAACCACCTGCAATTAAAAATTTTTGTGACAATATCTCTAAGAAATCACGAGTTCATTGTTTCTTAGGAGTCAAGTTGAGAATCATGAGATAGAGACCCGCCTCTCCAAGCTCCTATGGAAAGCGTTCGGCATTGTTCTACTTTAGTCTCACAGTATAGGTAATAAATGCACCTTTTATTTTTTTAAAGAACATTCCTTGAGTTATGCACACAAATGAAGTACTATACAGATGTTTTATTATACACCAGTGAACAATTTTCGCATAATAAGAATTCTATTGATTTAGTTTGTATTAAAATGATTGAAGAGTTTATAGTAAATGTTATTATGACATGCAAGCATCGCATGCAACAAAATACTAGTTAATAATTAAGTAGACCAGGGAAATAACTCATAGAAGACCTTGTACGTGGAAATATAGCATTGTACTTCTCACACCTGAAAAAAGAGTAGCATGGAAAACCCATACGCGTAGTTTCATGGAGTGGCAATTGTTTTTGTTTTTTATTTTTATTTTTCTTTTTTGTGGAGGGTGGAAAGGCATAGTTTTGAACATTGGACATCCAGAGTTTGCGCAGACTAGAAGGTGCATCCAAAATGTTTTAATTGACGTTTGTTCTTAGATTCTTTTCACATCTTTAGATTTAGAAAATTTACACGTTTGCTTTAGAGTCCCGTGTGAATACATTTCTAGTTCATCATAACACATGAATGACTAAATTGATATCTCTAAGGGATCATCCAACTGCAAACTAAAAATTGAGAACCTTAATAGGGGCTTGATCAGGCATCTGGAAGACTGCAACAAGCCCCCACCCCCCACACCACCCCGGCCCAAAAAAAACACCACAAAGAAAAACAGAAAATAATTTTTCTTCACTAAGAACTCTATCTAAGAACTCAAGCTCCCAAAGAATCCTTCACTAAGAACTCAAGCTCCCAAAGAATCTATCTGTAGAATGGACAGGAAAGAAGAGGTTAGGCTTATCACAGTGATACAAGTATACACCCCAGTGTTCCACAAGGCATTTCTTGGGAAATCCTGCTTGAGGACCTCAAGAAGGATCAGATAAGAGAGTCGTTTAGCTCTTTCACAAAAATAATTGTGCTGCCCAAATGATCAGTTCTTCCGTTTTCCACACTCCATGGGCCTTATAAGGAGCATTACAACTGAAACTCAGTTTTAGTTTGGATATTTTTGTTGGATAAGAATATTAGCTAAAATGTCTTTGGCTAAATGGCACTTAAATACCTGATTGTTTCACCACCTTTATACTTAAATACCCTAAGTTGTAAAAATAGCTCTTTAATACCCTAAGTTGTAATAAATTAACACATTAGTACCTTTTGTTAGTTGTCATGGGAATATTCGTAGAAATATGCCCTGACAACTAATAAAATGTGTTAAAGTACTACTTTCTTACAACTTAGGGTATTAAAGTGCTACTTTCTAACAAATTAGGATATTAAAGTGCTATTATTTACAACTTAGAATATTTAAGTGTAAAGGTTGTGAAACAATAAGGTATTTAAGTGCTAGTTTTTTACAACTTAAAATATTAAAGTGCTATTTTTTTCAAAACTTAAGGTAACTTAAGGTATCAAACAAAGTGCTTCTTTTTACAACTTGGGGCATTTAAATGTAATAGTGGAAGAACAATAAGGTATTTAAGTGCCATTTAGCCAATCTCTTCTCCATTGGAACATTTTCATAAGGTTTGGAAAAGATGACAATCTGCTCATGTTATCACCTCCTGAATTATTTTCTTAAATATATTGAAGCATTCTGTGGCAAAGGAGAGAGATTGGGGAAACAAAGGAGGATAGGTCAGGAAGCAAGGGTAGAACCACAAAACCTTATGCTTGACCTGTTGCAAGAATGTTTGGACTAGAGTGGAAACTTTTTGGGCTAACAAAACATTCCAACAGAAACAATGAACGTCAGGTGTAGTCGTGGAGTCAGTCCATTCAGATGGGAACTACTTATCAACATTATTCTAATTAAGATATATATGCAATAAGTTTACTCTGAATAAAAGAAAATACTAAGATATAACTACTACATGAGAAATCCTGAAAATTTACCAGCACTTTGAACAGGATTAAGAAAAATTAGGAATTCAGAGACAGGTTGTCGCTTGGTCCAGTCAAAAGGTCAATTTTAAATTTAAATGGTTGCTAGATTATCATACTGGACGGAGAACAATTGACGGGAACGACAACACGCATTTAGAAAACAAAACAATTAATTGTTTCAGATTCAAAACAAGTGAACTGTTCGTTAAGGTCAAGTTTCTACCAGTATACTGGCAATTCAAAGATCCACTTGTCTATAAAGATGTGCGAAATTCAATACCCATACTGGTGCATCTTGTTTATCTGATTGCGACTAACTATAATGAGGAGCATAACACCCACCGCATACAGCGAAGGTTTCAACTAAGATCAAGCTCTCTCTCTTTTCACACTTTTACCTACTTACTCACCGCCGTAATGATTAAATCAAAAAGCACCATTTCAACGCATTTTGAGGGCAAATGCAATGACCAAAATAAAGCCACACCTTGTTAGCTTTCGACAAGGCGTCGAGCAACATATTGTAAGCAAATATATCCAACATGTAGCCTCTCCTCCTCATCTCCTCATAAACCCTAACCGCCTTCTCCACGTCCCTGCACCTCAAATAAGCCTGCAACAAGCACTTGTAGGTATACCCATTAAACCTCAGCCCCCACTTCCTCTTCAACTCCAAGCACCTCTCGACCTCCCCCGCCCCCACAATCCCGATCAATATATTCAGCGTCGAGACGTTCCCCCTAACCCCGTCCCTCTCCATCTCCTCCACGATCTTCATAATATGATCAGAATCCACCCGGTTCGATTTCGACAGGATCGAGAGGAGACGGTTGTAAGTGAAGCAGTCGTGCTTGAACCCGGGCAGGGATCTGCAGAAGTGGAAGAAGGTGAGGGCTTGGTGAGGGGAGGTTAGGGTTTTGAGGATCTCGGAGGATTCGGAGGGGGTGAGGGTCAGGGTTAGGGTTTGGAGGTAGTCGGAGAGGTCGAGGAGGGGGTCGGGGGAGGAGGGGGAGCGGAGGATGGAAGAAAAGAAAAAGAAAGAAAATAAAAACGCCTGGTTTATGACTAGTTTTGGACCACTGATCAACTGCTGCTCTCTCACACCAACTCTTTTAACGTTTTCCTTTTTCAGCGAATATTTTTGAATATTATTGAGCGAAGAATTTTTCAAAACAGACCTGCTTCAACTTTTTTTTCTTAAAACCGACCTTTTTTTTTATTTATCAAAACCGACCCGATTTTGTAATTAGCAGCTTAATCACCATCCTAAACAGTCGGGGTTGGCAACCCCGACTATTTAGGACATTAATTTTTAGGGTTTAAGGCTTCTAATTAGGGTTTAACACCTTCCTAAATAGTCGGGGTTGCCAACCCCGACTGTTTAGGATGGTGATTAAGCTGCTAATTACAAAATCGGGTCGGTTTTGATAAAAAAAAAAAACGGGTCGGTTTTAAGAAAAAAAAGTTGAAGCGGGTCTGTTTTGAAAAATTCTTCTTACTTGTATCTATAAGCCCAATTCTCTTTTTGTATTTATATTTAAACTCAATCTTTAAAATACAATACTTTCATACGTGGACCCCCCTAAATATTTTTCTTAAATTCCCATTATAGCCTTCATTAAGTGGGGCCCCTTTTCAAAAAAATAAAAGAAAATGGAGAGAGAGAAACGCGGGAGAGGATGACAAACCGGTAGGAATATCGACCCCCCTCTCCCTCTCCCTCCCTGTCTTCTCTCTCTCCCCCCCTCCTCATCTTCCTTTCTCTCACTCCATTAATAGATTCTTACACTCCCTTATAACCCATCAATTAATCCTTACCAACTTTCTTAGCATTTGAAGGTACAATTTTTTAATTTTCTCAACTACTTAGTTTATAGCATTAATTTATCATTTTATGCATGACAATTATTTGATGTTGTTAGTTAAATGACTTCATAATTTTTTTTAAATTTTCTATTTTTGATAAAATGTTAGTTAAATGAGGTATTGTAATTAATCACCCATTAATTTCATATTATTATTTCACACTAATTTCTCAATATTATTTATGAATTCATAAAAATAGTTAAATTTGTTATTAGTTAAATTTGTTATAATTGATGAAATTTCAGTTGAATTTGATATTAAGATAGAATGATAACCTGTAAGGATAGCATAAAATATAAGAATTGTAAGTATGGCACGTAACCTGTAAGTATGGCATGTTAACATGTAAGTATAGCACGTTAAACTGTAAGTATAACACGTTAAACTGTAGCAGTATTTTAGTTGTATTGATTTTTTGTGTCTATCTTTGATGAAATTTTTCCTAAATTTGTTTATTTTTGGTAACAAATATAGATGGATGAAGAATTATATTGTGCAATGACGGATTTTAGAGGAAACAATCACTTCTTAAAATTAAATATCAACGGGAGTTACAAAGATTTGGCGGTTGTAGTGCAAAGCGTAATTGCTTGTAGTGCAAACACGATACAGTTGAATTACAAAGTACCCCACACACAAGAAATTTATGTACGTGTATGTGATGATAATGATGTCTCAATAATGGTCAATGTACATCGAAGTTGCAAGGGGAATATAGTTGTCATGAACATTGAGATGAATCGAGAAATATTATTTGGGATACAAGTTAATAATGTCCATATAAGGTAATTTGCACTTTTGATATACTTTTATACTTTTAACATTATCACTTTCTTAACTCTTGTACATTTTTCTATGTAGTAATCTGTATATCCCCTCTAGTGACGAACATGTTTCTCATTCACAAAATCCATCGTCTTCACAAAATATGTCTTGGGAAGTTAGGAGTTCTAGTATGATTCCTATTGCATGGCACAATGCTATTAGAAGTGTTGGTCAAAAATTTGATGATGTTGAGCATTGTCAGCGGAGTTTAAGTAATTACTCTATTGCACGATGATTTAACTTTGAATTTGTAAAAAATGAATGCAAAAGAGTGACAGCAAAATGCAAGGCCGCAAAGTGCGAATGGATGGTTCATTGCACCCATCGTAGAGATAGTGATCGATTCTATGTGAAAAAAAATCTGTAGTTCTCATAGTTGCTTGGGAGGAGGCATAGGAAAAGAAGGATATCACCAGGCATTTCGTAAGTGAAATGCTAATCATCTCAAGATCATATTGAAGGAACAACTCACTTATCGCCCAATTGATTTCCAGAAGAAGTTTAAAATGGAATTTGGTTTGGACATCCCTTATCATAGAATTTGGTGGGGGAAAAGAGCTAGCTCAACGTGAATTGTATAGTGATACTAAATTTTCATATGACTAACTCCGATGGTATAAGGATAAAGTTATAGAAACTAATCCGGGATCAATTGTTCACTTAGAGCATGAAGACGGAAGATTTACACGAGTATTTGTGTCTTATTATGCTTGTTAGAAGGGGTTTATGGAGGGATGTAGGTCAATGCTGTTCTTGGATGGTACACATCTTTTTGATAGGTATGGTAGAATTCAATCTAATCAAAACTTGCATTAATGTACCACTTCATAGTAAAATATTATACTTTGATTCATGATTGTTCTTTTCTTTTATAGGTATAAAGAAATCTTACTTGCCGCAACTGCTCTAAATAGAGATGGAGGTATGTTTCATGTAGCAATTTGCATATGCGGGATGGAGAATGAGTAATTAGGAATGGTTTTTGGAATGCATTCGAGACATTCTCTTCAATGATGAAGATCCATATACTCCAGATGATGAATTGGTGTTAATCTCCGATAGGAACAAATGACTTTAAAATTCCGTGAAGAAATGATTTCCATTGTCACATCACTCTTATTGTATTCGTCATCTTTTGGCTAATTTTAAGAATAACTTATCGAAAAAAGGTATTACACTACCTTTACGAGATGAATGTGTGCAAATTATAAAGAGGGCCGCTTATGCATACACTTCTCGTTCCTATAACAATGAATGCAACGTGCTACGGAACAAATCAGAGATCGCCTATAATGAAATATTGAGGACGAGTCTAAAAAATTAGGCTAATTGTTATTTCCCTGGGAAGAGGTTAAAATTTAAATTTATACAAAATTTTAAATACAAATCTTCGAGATATATGTTCCTGATATACTTACTATTTATTGACACACATGTGATACAAACATCAAACGTAACGGAGTCATTCAATTCTTGGATCAAAGAAGCTCGTTATTTGTCAATTACATAAATAATTGATAATATTCACAAGAAAATGACGAGGATGAGTTTTGAAAGGCGGGAGGCATCCCACAAGTAGACCACAATATTTGTTCATATTGTGAAAGAGTACCTTATTCATATCAATGAGCAATCACATTGTCTTTCTGCAATTCCTTCTACTACAGCAAGGTATAAGGTGTATGATTTTCCCACCGTTGAAGTAGATTTGAATGAATGCACATGTGCTTGTCGTGAATGGCAAGTTGTCGGGCTACCTTGCAAACATACGACAACGGTTATTTGACAGAATAACGACACCTTTTACTCTTATATTTCCCACTATTTTAGTGTGTGGATATACCGCAAATGCTACTCCTTTGGATATACCCAATTCCTGATGATCACAAGCCATATATAGATGATGATATATAGTGATTCAGCCACCGACAACATCAATTCTTCGTGGAAGACCAAGGACAAAGCGTATTCCTTCAGGATTGAATCCGAACAAAGAGTTAAAATATAGTAGATGTCAATAATATGGTCATAACCATAGAACATGTAGACAACCTATTGCAGACTAGATATATTCTATGCTATACTTTTGGATGTAAGATGAGCAAAAAATTTGGATGTAAGACATGCTATAACTTTGGACAAAAGACATGCTATACTTTTGGATGTAAGACGAGCTACAATTTTGGATGTAGGATATGTGTTTGTTATCGTGCTATACTTACAGGTTAACATGCTATACTTACAGTTTAATATGCTATACTTACTGAATAATATGCTATACTTACAGTATAACATGTTATACTTACAAAATAACGTGCTAAACTTACTGAATAATGTGCTATACTTACTGAATAACGTGATATACTTACTAAATAACGTGTTATACTTACAATATAATATGCTATACTTACAGAATAACTTGTTATACTTACAAGATAATGTGCTATACTTACTGAATAACGTGTTATACTTACTGAATAACGTGTTATACTTATAGGATAACGTGCTATACTTACGGAATAACGTGCTATACTTACCTTATAACGTGCTATACTTACATGATAACATACTATACTTACTGAATAACGTGCTATACTTACAAGTTAACGTGTTATACTTACAGTTAACGTGCTATACTTACTAGATAACATGCTATACTTATTGAATAACGTGCTATACTTATAGGTTAACGTGTTATACTTTCTGAATAACATGCTATACTTACTGAATAACGTGCTATATTTACAAGTTAACATACTATACTTACTGAATAACGTACTATACTTACAGTATAACATGTTATACTTATATGATAACATGTACTTATATGATAACGTAATATACTTACTGAATAACATGCTATACTTACTGAATAGCATGTTAATACTTACAGTATAATGTATTATACTTACAGGTTAACTGTGACGCCCCTGGGTTCACACAAGGCTGCAGTCCAAGGTGAAACCAGAGATATCAAACCTGCCATACACTCACACTGTGTATAAACATGTTTCACCAATCATAGCAATATCCTCTAGTAGAACCAAATAGAAGTGCAGATACAAAACAGGTAAAAAAAGGAGAATAAATGTAATAGACATGATATAAAAGAGATATCTCATAAATAAAAAGAATCATGTCTCAACTATAATACATCTGATATATGAATAATAAAAATGTCTTAACATGAATCAACTAAAAATCGTACTAAGGCACACTGTCTTTACAATATGAATATGAAACTCTAATGTCTGAATGAAACTCAAAACTACAGTGGAGTCTCTACAAGTAAAAATATGCGACGACGACTATGCCAGAACTCTGTCACCCTGAGGCTCTCCAAAACTCCGAACTACCTAGATGGAGTGAATGCTCTATCTATTAAGTATAGTCTATCTAGATTCATTTTTTCTGTATCTAAATGGGATTAACATTTAAAAACCTACAACACGAGACGTAGTACGTCGAGCGAAATAATCCAAACAAGAAAACCCTCATATATATACCATATGTCTCAAATTGTAGATATCTAAATATTAATACCGAACTAAGAAAAGATAATCTAATAAAATCAACAATTAAAAATCCATAACACAAGACTGGTACATCGAGCGAAATAATCCAAACAAGGAAACCCTTATATATATGACATATGTCTCAAGTTGTGAATCTCTAATCATTGATTCCAACTAAGAAATAAAGAAGGCAGTAAAAGAATTAAGACATCAACACATCATATTTATAATATTTTCCACTATCACTGGGAAGATAGAATAAAATACCAACACATAATTTTGTATACTTTTAAAAGCAACGTATCTCGATCATATAGCTCAGTGGTAGGTCATATTCATAATCTATATCTGTCACACTTAGGCTATCAAGTAATTGTCTTAGTGCAACGGACTACCCTGTAGGTATCCTGAACTGTGTATATGGCTCATTAGTCTCATCGCGATCTCAGTGCTAACATAAGTGCGGGACGGACAAATAGACATCCTATGGCTCACAAGCCTCATCGCACCCTAGTGCGGGACGGACGGTTAGATCAAGCCTCCTAAAATCCGACTTAATGGCCTGTACATGTGGAATATTGACGCACTACCTCATGTAGTACTGAACTGAGCTCATCAACGATATCCACCTCATATAAATCTTTATATATTTGGTATGTCGATGCGCTATCCCATATAGTACTGAACTGTGCTCATCAATGATATTCATCTCATGTATAAACCGTGTATATCTGGTATGTCGACGTACTATCCTATATAGTACTGAGCTGTGCTCATCAACGACATCCAACATGTATATGAACGATATCTAATTCAAATATGATCAAATCAAAATTTATCACAATCCCCTTAGAATTCTTAAATGTGTAACACAATATATTCATGACTATATGTTTAACATCAAGCGGCTCAAAACTTCGCGAACGCATCTAAAAATGGCGCAACACAGCTCCACAAAATGAGCAGGAAAAATAGACGGGACTTCTATTAGTAAAATGAGCATATCTTTCTCTAGAAACACTATTTTTATAAATGGTTTTCTGTTTTAAAAACTAGATTCACACATCTTTTAAATGACATAAAGTTGGTCTAGTTTGGTGTTTATTTGTTATCCTAAATCTCTAGTTAAACATTATATATGTGTAGCAGTTTTTTTGCAGGACATATTATTAGTAAACATAACATATCTTTCTCTATACAATTTTTTTTAAGAAAGGTTTTCTGTTGTAGAAACGAAATACATATATCTTTAATTTGGAACTAGTTTGGTTAAATTTAGAATTTGTTTGTTATCTTAAAATATCAGTTAAAGATTATATAAGTGCTGCAGTTTTCTGCAGAAAATATATATTTAGTACATCACTTAAATTTCTCATATATAAATAAAATTATGAATAACCCTAATGATCATGATCATGATATTATCATAAACAGTAAGAAAAGATTACTAATCTAGCATTGATTTAAGATTTACTATCAAAAATCTGACTTTTAACACATCAGGTTAAAATTAAAGCATGAAAACACATATTCAACATCATATTAATCATCTACACTAGTTATTTAACTATGGGGATGAGTTTGGATGAAGATAATATTGCCTCAAATATCGTTCTAAGCCTCTGAGATAAACAGTAAGCCATCTACAAGCATAAACAACCCGTTCTCCCTTGTCACACGTGGAAGATCTCGCCCTAGTGTCGGTATTATGCTCCACAAAGCTCTCAAAATTCATAAAAAAATATCTAGAGTTTTTGAGGGGAGAGGATGGCTACTAGGATTCATAGATATAATAAAAGAGAGAAATTTTTTTTAAAAAAATACATGTATTTATAGAGGCAAACCCGAAACAAACATGTTTGACCCGAACCAGGAAACCTAGTCTGACTAGGAAAACAACCATCGGTATTTTGGCCATAACTTTCACGTGTGACATCAGAATGAGGTTATATAAGATTTGTTGGAAATCTCTTGAAGAGACCTACAACTTAGGTCTTTTAAGTTTTTCTATATTCCAACTGTTTCAGTATGTAAAATACATATACTTTTAACTAGTCGTTTTTCCCAGATTTAGGCCCGTGCACATGTGCATGATATCACTTCTATATTCACATATATACATTAGATTGATCTCAAATCAATTCCTAGCATACTCAAATATTAATAAATATTATTTTTTTCATAATACAACACATTTATGATTTATTACAAAATATTTAAATTTTAGGGTTTTACATTAACGTATTATACTTACTGAATAACGTGTTATACTTACTGAATAACGTGCTATACTTACTAAATAATATACTGTACTTATAGGTTAACGTACTATACTTACTGAATAACATGCTATACTTACAGTATAACGTATTATACTTACAGTATAATGTGTTATACTTACAAGATAACGTGCTATACTTACTGAATAACGTGATATACTTACAGGTTAATGTGCTATACTTATATGATAACGTGCTATACTTACAGGATAACATGCTATACTTCATGAATAACATGCTATACTTACCTTATAACGTGCTATACTTACATGATAACGTGCTATACTTACCTTATAACGTGCTATACTTACTGAATAACGTGCTATACTTACTGAATAACGTATTATACTTATAGTATAACATGCTATACTTACAGGATAACGTGTTATACTTATAGGATAACGTACTATACTTATAGGATAGCGTGCTATACTTACAATATAACGTGCTATACTTACATGTTAACGTGCTATACTTACTAAATAGCGTGCTATACTTATATGTTAACATGCTATACTTACAATATAACGTGCTATACTTACAGGATAACGTTCATACAAATATATCTATCTATCATCAAATCTACCATAGAAGCCACATAACAATAATAATATAACCGAAGAATGCAATTGATAAAGTATATACAACGTTCATACAAACATATATTTTATAATGACAAACAAACTATATACAACTTGCATGACAAGATATAGTCCAACAGCAGTCCCATAGGTTTCGTAATGACAAACATATGTTCATACTGTCAAACATACATTATACAAATATTTTACAAATCAATTTCCAAATATATGTTTACACTTGGTTAACTATTGATATCACATTTGGCATCTAGCATCCAAGGAATTTGTCTTGAGGATCACGTTTGTCTCCTAAAATCAAAATATAACCGGATCAAAAGAATAATAGAGCAATAGACTGAATATAAGCAGTTCAATGAACTTTTTACTTATAAAAAATATACCTTCAAATACAAATAGAGCAACGATATGAGCTCTATGTCTTGCACAATCCTTTTGGTCAATTAAAATTAGTTGATCGGAAACGAGGCTAAACATGTACGCCATCAAGATTACCCCGCAATCCAAGCTACTGCAAGTTCAAATGTTTGCAATATCAATATAACACTCTTGGCTCGTAATTATATAGTTTCTATGTGTTAGCACATACGAAAGAACAACAAATGAATAAGTCAAATACACTAACCCACGTTGTTGAGGTACGCCAACACTTTCTACCTCTTGACAAGAAGTAATGTCCAAATTCTAAGCATCGGGAATGGTAGAAATAAGCTTCACTCTAAAATCACTAGCATCGGACATATATCCGTGTAGAGAAGAATAATGATAAAATCTTCTATCCTTAATAGAGAATACCAACATATGCCAATAAAATGAAGTTAGGAGTGGGAAAATAATCTTATCAAGTTTATGGAATCGAGTAGTCGTTATTGGCTTAAACATTCGATCCACACTCGACGGGTTATTTTCATTGATGCATCTCTAAAAAAACAAAGAAAGTTAAGATTAAGTATTTAATATACCTTATGAATAATACTTATAATCTCGGATTGGATTTCTACTTACAGTTACTCATGGACTACATATGTGTATGTCCTTTGCATAGTTTGGACGCGTCTCAATCAACCTATTTAGAAGCACAACATAGGAGGTTATAACCTGAAATGTAGATAATATAATTGTAAATGTTAGTGTTATATACTACATGTGCATTGTGTGAATAATTACTCTGGGAGTCCCCTGTTATTCATCTTAACTACTAATAGTTGACAAAGTATCCATTTCCAACTTAAGAAATAAAAAATATGGACAACTGCTTTGTTTTAGTTCCAGTTTCCTGACAATGTTTTCCAAATTAGTTTATTCAATTCCAAGCACTCTATCAGATTCTAACTTCAACATAGTGTTTTTGTGTCTGTGGTATCTTTACCGTTGATCACATATAAAAAGTGAAGAATTCGGATGTGACACTCAAATTTATGTTAGTGTTATATATTACACGTGCATTGTGTGAAGCATGAAAAGTACGGATACTTACGTCGTAACTAATTGCCTCCTCTTTAAGCAATTCCAATAAATCCTTGCGTGTTATCAACGCATCTCTAGATGACCACACTAATGTCTCACTACATATGAAACAAATTTATAACATGTATTAATGAAAAAACTTAGTACATATTGAAAAGTTAATCATTCAAAATACACTTACGTGGCCTTATTCTTCTCCTTCCAAAAATTATCTAGCAGTTCTCTCTCGTCATCCCTTACTTCCTTCCTTCCCAATTAATTTGGTACTCCTTTTCTATTAAAAAGCAGAACAAAGGGAGAACATATTGATGGTCCAACATGCTGAGATCTCGAGAGAACTATTCTTTTGATGGAAGGAGTTTTACTCATGCCTTCAATCAACCCAACATCGCGCGGGCCTAGAACAAAGGTGTCGTCATCCACTTCCATTGAATTCAGGCCCACTTGATCATTACCACCATCCCCACCACCATCTTTACCTATATTCAATCTATCTACATCTTCACCAACCTCCGCATCCCCGCCGACATCCTCATCCATATCTCCACCATTCACACTATTCCCCTTATCAACTCCCATCTCATCCTCCCCATTCCCCTCATCACCCCCTCCTCATCCTCCTCGTTGACCTCATTATTTCCCTCTTTATCCTCCCCATTCCCCTCATCACCCCCCTCCTCGTTCCCCTCATCCTCATCAGCGCCATCACTATCATCCCCATCATCACTGTCCTCCTCATCTCCTCCACCACTATAGACATCATTTTCCTCACCAAATTTGTCCCTCCTTATCTTTAAGAGAAGGTCTAATTCCACTTTTTTTTTCAAGTATGAGCTAATCCAACTCAGCTTTGGTGATTACCTACACATAAATAACCCAAGTAAAGTTCAATTCAGGGAAGAACATCAAATAAAAATTATTTTATAAAAGCATTGGGAGCAATTAACTAACATGGAATAAAATATATATATATATACCTATCTCTCTCTCTCTTTCTCTCTCTCTCTTCAATATTGTAGGAACAGTGGATGTAGTTGCAGCTTTTCTCTTTTCAAATTTATGAGCCCTCGACTCGATAACATGCTTTCTAAAAGTATACGGGTCTCTAATTAAATCTTGAACTGCACTCCTTCACAAAGATCCCTGACCCTTGTAGAAGCTAAGGATGGGTGGTAGGGATTCTGCTCTTACATGAAGGCTTAATTTTTCCACAAGTTCATAAAACCAAATCTGTGAGAAAATAAAAATTTTAGCTCAACAATAAACATGACAAAATGATATACATATATGAAATTCATAATGACATAAAAATGTAGTAAAAGTTAACTTACCACCAAAACCGAGGCAACCCCCCCTATATAACCACCTCTAGATCGATTTCCCTCAAACCTCTTAGTGATGGTTTTCTTAGCCTTATTTATCTCAGAACGCAACATATTGTATACTAATTCAATCCAATTATACTCCTTAAGAGTACCAAATTTCTCAGTATATCTAAATGCAAATAATGGATAACTCTTACTAGCTTGAGGGTATAATATGAAGCCTATAATGAAAGCCACGAGCATCTATGGTAAAAGAGGATCTCTAAGCTCGGTCATCTGCTTGATAAGTTTACCCATCCTATCTCTTCTAGCACACACAATCTTCTTCTTACCCTCATCACTTTTCTTCTTACTTCTTCTAGTCCTGCACTTCATATCTTCTTCAATTTTAGCTTTAGTACTATATGAAAGCACAAGCTTGTAGATTGTATCGTGATCACTTCTATGAAACCGAGTGTCTACTATAGATCCTCCCATCGGAAAACTCATAATTCTCTCAACTTCTTCAACACCAAAGGAGGTCCATTTCCTCCAATTTTGAAACTACTTTTTGTTGGTCTTCTTGTTTTGATGATGTTTAACAAACAATTTATAACTAATGTTGTTTGTCTAGTGCTTGTGTTATCTATTCATTGTAGACAAACAACTTGTTGGAGGATGGATGGAATAGAGCTTCAACGATCATATCCAAAGGAGGTTGGCGGAATGTCGGTGAAGCCTTGCTATTCAAAGTTCAAGATCCAAGTTCAAGCTTCATCCGCGAGATTACCAAGTCAAGCTTATTGAAGATCAAGATCATTGCTTGGGTAATTTAGTTTAGGAATTTATATTATGTGTGTTAGTACTTTAAGCTCAATCATATACACACATACACGTTTTGGTTTTTGTATATATATAGTTATATATATACATATATGTTTTAGTTTGATAGTTTTCAAGTTTTACTATGAAACAATTGAATATAATTAGAAAACATATTTTTGTTTCATACTCATATGCATATATATGATTTCATCAATATCAATTTTAGTTAGTTAAATGAAATCATGTTTTAGTGCATTATATGTGTATTTTGATAAAATACTACATTCATTGTTTATAGACTTCATAACAATAGTTTACATCTTTCTTCAAGTCTATAAAATCATTTTGTAAAGTTTCAAAAGTTGGTTTAGCCAAAATATCAAAATTCACATGTTTACATTTTCGTGTTTTGGACTATTTTGCAAAATGATGATATTTTTCATTTGGGAAGTCCTTTTTCGAAACCAGTCGTTGTAGCATGTTTATTATCATGTCTACAATCATTCCCCAAAGTTTTACATTTTTTGGAATTTATTTGATATTTTTAAACAGCATTTTAAAACCAGCAAAACAGGTTTCAGTTTCTGTCATATCTGTTTTCGGTCGACCGTACCGGTCGACCGAACCTGAGTTCATATTCAAGAGAGTTTTAAAAACAAGTTTAAGAAAGTTTTAATCAAGGGTTTATGTTTGGTTTAAGTGTGTTTATAAGCTTTTAAGCATTTGAGTGTTTTGGTTTTGTGAATCACTTCCACAAGAGCTTGAGGAGATCATCTATTGGTGTTTGAGCATCCAACTCTTCTCCTTCCACTCTTGATCTATTGAGAAGTTTTCTAAACTCAATCTAGCTTCATATTTTATATTGTTTGATTATCTTTTTATTAAGCTAGTGTTCATATTGAGTTTAGTTGATTTTATTATCTCTTTGTTCACACACAACCTATTGAGCTTATTGTATTTACATTCATAGTATAATTGGGTTGTGAGATTGTGTATCTTAGAGAGTGAGCTTACAATTCGTTCTCATCCATTGTAGAGAACAAACACTTTGTATTGAGCCTTAATTGTGAGGATACACTTTGTAATACACTTGTACACCAAGAGAGAAGTGTGTGGCGAGAGTCGGGGATCGTCCCAAGAGGAGTGGGGTAGGTGACGAGAGGTTGTAATTCCTAACACTTGAGGGAGACACGTCTAGTTCCAACACTTAGTGGGTGTAGAGTGTGATTGCAAGAGTGTTGATTGTAAAGTTTTCGGTTAGCTAGAAAACCGAGTGTGAGGTGTAAACGTTATTCGGGTGAACGTAGAAAACCCGGTTGTGATAGTAGAGATCTCCTCGAGGTGAGGAGCGGGGACGTAGGTCGTGGGGACCGAACCTCGTAAACATATCCTTTGTTTGTGTTTGCATTGGCGCACTTGTTTTCATGTTCATATCTTACATCGTCATTGTGTATTGCTTGTTGATCATTTTACCCTATCACATTTGTAGTTAAATTGTTTACCCCTTGTGTGAGTTGAGTTTATATATCCTTGCTCATATACTTGTAATATCTCATTGAAAGGATATATTCGTTTGTTCATATTGCTTATCCTAGCTTACATATCTTGTTGTATTTCATACTTGCTAGGATAACGTATTAATTAATTTTAATTGGCATTTAATCGGATTAGATTAGCATAAGACCCTAATCACCCCCCCTCTAGGGTCTAACACTTTTTTCAACATTAAATACTCATAACAAACAATCCACTATAACTGGTTGCATTAGAAGATCTAGAATATCTAAATACCCATAAAATAGAGTATCTCGGAGGGCAGTTTGTTGACCTTCCGACAAATTAGCAGAAATTTAATTTTGAACAAGGTCCCGGAAGTACCCAACGTTGGATGGAATTCGTACTAAAGCCATGAGATTGAATTTTCTACAACCATAAAACATAAAGCAACTTTAGTTGTCCATCAATATTATACATAATCTCTTCATTAAAACAAATTTCAAAGCCTATGATTTCAAAATTGTAACAGACAATCTTAATTCTCGAATATCCAACAACATTTTTTTCATTTCCTTTTTTTTGGTAATATTTTTATATCAATTGTTAACAAATATAGCTTTTGTATCAAATGTTAACATATGTACAATAATAGACTTTTGTATCAAATGTTAACATATGTACAATAACAGACTTTTGTATCAAATGTTAAAATCTAGCATCCGGGGTCTTGAGGATCATGTTGATGTCCTAAAATTATGACTTAATATATTGCATAAAAAACAACTATACATAATAAGTTATTAATTTCTAAAAAACATAAGAAAATCAATATCATTCCTCAGTTATAAAGTCATGAATTCAAAATAATACAAACACTTCAACTAATCTAAAATTGTTGAGTTTAAGAGCCAATAATTATCCATGCAGTCAATATCCAAATATCAAAACCAACAATGAAAAAGATTAACGGTAACCCAGCCAATGCTCATGCTAATAAGTACCTCAAACGACGAGTTTGATGGTAATGATGACTGGGACGGGCGACATCGTCGATTGTGAGATGCGTCGGCGGCAAGGGGATAGCGAGATCGACGACGAGATTGAACTTAGAGGTCGACGACAACAATCTGGGATGGAAACTCAACGACGAGTTCGACAACAAATTTTTGTGGAGACGGGCAACAATGGCTGCGCACGACGGTCTGGGACGGTCAAACTAAGAGGTCGACGACGGCGGGATCGAACTAAGAGGTCGACGGCGAGATCGAACAAAGAGGTCAATGGCGAGATCGAACTAAGAAGTTGATGGCGAGATCTGGGACAAAAACGAGGCAACGGAGCAACGACGACAGTGACGCCGGCTGCAGACGGGTCACGGCGGCTGGAGATGGGCGACAGAGGCAAGGGGCTTTCATTTTTTTAATTTAGGGCTAAGGTGAAAAGGGGATTTTGAGGAGAGATACTGGTTTATATGGGGAAATGGGTATTTTGGGGGTTTTACCTTGATTATGTATAAATACAAGTGCTAAAAGTATTATATTTTAGAGATTGGGTTTAAAGATAAATACAAAAAGAGAGTTGGGCTTAGAGATAGAAGTAACAATACTTGGGTTTAAATATAAAGTGGAGTAAATAAACTGCAGACGGGTCACGGCGGCTGGAGACAGGCGACAGAGGCAAGGGGCTTTCATTTTTTTAATTTAGGGCTAAGGTGAAAAGGGGATTTTGAGGAGAGATACTGGTTTATATGGGGAAATGGGTATTTTGGGGGTTTTACCTTGATTATGTATAAATACAAGTGCTAAAAGTATTATATTTTAGAGATTGGGTTTAAAGATAAATACAAAAAGAGAGTTGGGCTTAGAGATAGAAGTAACAATACTTGGGTTTAAATATAAAGTGGAGTAAATAAAT